ATATAGAACCTAGACCTGATCTATAATCACACTACACATGGACAGAGACCTTTACACTGGAGGAGCTTTAATATCTTATTTTAAACTCTCAGATATCTGTACTGGCCTCCGGTCAAACTCAAGTGCAGTCTGAAGGTTTATCAGATGAAGTAACAACAATGTGGTTTATAAACCGAGACAGCATTTTGCAACTGCAGCAGCAATTTTCACTTCTGTTGCAATGATTCTAAAGTAAACTACATTATATAAATAAATTTACCCTTTCCTCCTTATTTTGACTTGAAAAGACAGATTTGAAAAGTTAATATAAGCTGTTAGTATAAAAAGCTGCTGCTTGGGTTTGAGTTGAGCCGGGGATAATCCCCTCCTCCCTGCCTTGTTTTTCCTGCACATACCTTCAGATTTTGTTCACTATCATCAGACTGATGCGGGCTGATTAATATGGCATGATCTCTGCACTCTCTCTGCAGGGAGTTACTAATCTCTGCAAGCGGAAACCTACAGCCGTCTGTTAAGTGTGAAACTAAAAACTATGCTTTGTAAAACCGTCTGCAGCAATGATTTGAATTTAATGGGCTGAAATTTACAGAAATAGTTGAAACCCTGTGTTTTATTTCATGTTCTTCTAAATGTTCACACTCTCAGACAGGAAGAACACAATCAGCCAACACGCTGCTGATTTAACAAAGCAGTTTAGTCTGTGTTTTTGCAGTTTTAATCATGATGTCATCATTATGGCTGAAGCTGTAACTGTAGTTCAGTCTGCTGGGATACAGTGTGGTCCAATGTCACCTTAAAAAAACAGTTTTATTTTTCTTGGATGATGATGCCTGTTGGTCTCAGTCTGTCCAGCATTTGGTGTGATTAATAGACCTGGATCAGACTGTCGAGTCGGTCGTTGTGGATATTCCTTCTCCCCAAAGACAGACCTCTGCCTCAGCTCTGCATCCTTCTAGTGAGTATTTTTACTATCAGTTCATCGCTTGATTATTTTTATTTAAAATGTCCAAAAGAAGTGAAAAATTTAGATTGCAGTTTTCCAGAGGACAAGTTAAGGTATTCAAATAAACAATAAAAGAATCAACTAGAATCATCAGGTTACATCCCTGTATATCCTGAGTCATGAAAAATATGAACCATTTGTGTGACACTTTGTCATAATTGCTGTGGGGTCTTGAGTTATAGCTAAAAAAAAATTCTGAGGTCACCATAACCTTGACCTTTGACCTTTGACCATCAAAATGTAATCAGTTCATCCTTTAGTCCAAGAGAATGTTGAGGCTGGAATTTAGTCATAAACAATTAATCAACCATTACCTCAAAATTATTTTCAACCAGTCAATAAATGAATTGACTGATTGTTTCAGCTCTACATTATTTGTCTACTAAGAGGCTGTAACCTTTGACCTATTGATGATTGGGCTTTATTCTACTGTTGGCCTCAGAGGAGTCTGTCTCAGAGATTCTTTCATTTCCTTGGTAGTACTGTTCATGTTTAGTGCAGCCAACACTTGGTTTTATTTGGCTGCAGCAGCTGAACTGAGTGTGTTTCCGTGTGTGTGTCTCTATTTGTCTGACAAGGTTCATCAACAAAGCTCTAGAGCTGGAGTGGGGACAACCCCTTGCCTCTGCCTCCACGAATCGGGTAACAGCACCTATTACTACCCCTCAGGATAGCTTTGACGTCAGCAGGCATTTGGCCCTTGTTCCTCCATTCAGAGAGACAGAGGTCGATTCTTACTTTTGTGCATTTGAACGTATAACATCTGCTCTACTTTGGCCTAAAGATGTGTGGCCAATATTGTTGCAGTGTAAATTAGCAGGAAAAGCACAGAAGGTCTGTAATAGTCTGTCTTTAGATCAGTGTCAGGATTATGAGGTTGTAAAGTCCACCGTTCTCCGTGCATATGAATTAGTTCCGCCAGAAATTTAGGAATTAAAAAAAAAAAAATGTCAACCAGACCTATGGCGAGTTTGCTCATGAGAAAAGCACATTATTTGATAAATGGTGTCAAGCCACAAAAACAAAGGATTTTGCTCAGCTGCGAGAGCTTGTGTTGCTTGAGGAGTTTAAAAATTGGCTGCCGGACAATATTGTTGTGTATTTAAATGAGCAACAAGTTTCTACTCTATCGCGAGCGGCGGTGCTTTCCGATGACTTTGCTTTAACGCATAAGAATGTGTTTTCCTCATTCGCATCCCACGATTGTGTAGCTCGAGGTGAAAAACAAAAATCCCCCCGTAGTCCCCGGCGTCAGTCTCCGGTTCCGCTTGATAAGCGTGCGTGTTTTTGTTGTCATGAAAGCAGCCATTTGATTGCTGACTGTCTGGTGCTAACGAGAAAAGAGCAGTTTAAAACGTCAGTCTCCACTGGGTTGATTCAAACAATGCCAATTGTCAATGGAAATGTGATTGCTGTAGAAACGGAGGACACAGTTGACGCCCAATTTGAATTGGTTTGCGGCCCCAGTTGCCGGTGTTGGGGGTTGACCTCATTCTCGGGAATGATCTAGCAGGAGTGAAAGTGTCCCCCCCTCCCCTGAAGTTGTTGAAAATCCCTCTATGGATACGTTCCCCGCTGCTCCTGATTCATCCTCCGTTTTCCCTGTGTGCGCCGTTACGCGCGCCATGGCTCATAAACTAGCTGATGTGGTGCATCTTTCTGATACCTTTATAGCTGAGGATAGTGCTGATAATGTGTTGTCTACAGCTCCCGATTTGCCTTTATCAATGGACAAAATGGAAGTAATTAAAGCCAAACAGAATGACTGTACTCTTGCTAGTAGGTTGTCTACAGCCATAGAAAACAAGAATGAGCGACCGGTCACATATGTTTTTGATGATGGTGTCCTCATGCGAAGATGGTCTCCTGAGCCTGGCGACAATAGTGATGTCATTCGGAAGTTAGTCGTGCCAACACCGTGTTGAGTTTAGCCCATGATCATGGTTTGTCGGGTCATTTGGGTTTTCGAAAAACATATCACCGCACCTTCAGAATGTTTTTCTGGCCAGGTTTAAAATCTGAGGTGGCGAAGTTTTGCCGGATATGCCGTAAGTGTCCGGTGGTGGGGAAGCCAAATTAAACGATTCCTCCTGCTCCGTTGCATCCCATCTGGGGGAACCGTTTGAACACATCTTCATAGATTGTGTAGGTCCACTTCCGAAAACTAAATCAGGCAATCAGTATATCCTGACCAACACTGCCAACCAACATGTTCTGATGTTATATGTAGTTTGCTTATGTGAAATGTCAGCCCAGGTGCCGTAGGGGTGGGTAGCAATTTTGTTTAACCCAATTTTCTCCTGTTTTCGTTAGGTTAGGAGTTAGGTTAGTGGCTTGTCTTTTTGTTATTCTTTTGTTTGAGTACGTAAGTTTAGGTTCCTTAGTTTTAGTTACCTCTGTTTGTTATTTTGCTGTTAGCCCATCCTGAAGATAAATTAAAACCCTAATGGGCTGTAATTCCTTGTGGCTGGTGGTTCTTGGGAGCTGGGAAGAGGGGAGTCTCTCAGTATTTACATTACGCCAGGGTTTCCCCTAGGCCGGGTCGTAACAGGATTAAAACACAGCAGCAGAGACATACAGAACTAATGTTGCTTTATACTGTCTCACTATGTTACGAATTTCACAAAACTTATTTATCATTTCACAATTAGCCCCCCCCCCAGAACAGTTACACCACTACCTCTAAATTAAAAAAAGAAAAAGAAGAAAGTAAGTACATATACTCAATTGCTGAACTTGAAAATTTCCATTTTATTTTACTTTTTCCACTATGTTATTTACATTTGTACTTCTTACTCAGCTACATTTATTTGAAAGCTGTAGTTAATTTTTGGATCAAGATTTTATATAAAAAAGCATATGATAAATTTATAAAATACAATTCACTAGTAAAGACTAAACCACCTGTTGGTGTGACCCCTTTAAAAAAGCTGTTTCAGATGTGTATGAGTTATTATCAGAGAGACTGAAACTTCCCAGGTGGTTGGATGGAAAAACAGGGAGGGAAAATCATCCAAAGTTTTACAGGAAAACAACAACAGGCATTGACTAGAGAACAGTCTGAAAACAGCGACAAAGCTGTGCAGCAGTCCTTTCCTTTTCTTCTGGTCTACCCCATTAATCATCTCATAACCCCTCAGGGAGGGGCTTGACCCCAAGTTTGATTACCACTGTACAACCCAGCTCAACCGTGACTGGCTACAACGCTAAAATACACAATGATTCATTAGTATTAACAATCTAATAATATCATTTATTATAATAGATCAGTCACAGGGGCCATTCTTTAGTGGGGGGAGTACTAACTTACTTATGCAGGACTAATGGAGTATTTCTACACTGGTGTATTGGTACTTTTATTTACCTAAAATATCTCAGTGCTTCTTCTGCATTTAACTGATTGATGTTAAGTTGCCTTGTTTTGTTCAACCAAAAACAAACCAACAAACAAACAAACAAACAAACAAATAAAAAAAATTGATAATGAATAGCTGCAGTCCTAGTTCATACCAAAAATAATAAAGCTGCTGTATAAAACACAAGGAGCTATGTTGGTGTGGGTGTGTCGCAGCCATTTTTTTCAGACCCCGAATGAATCCTATCACAAAGTTAAGGGAATTTGTCAAGTCTTCTCTCTTGTAAAGATGAAAAATACAGTTTAGAAACACTTCTAAGAAAGCATAATTTCACTTTTGTGTGAGATGTCCAAGTTCGTTTTCACCAATTTGTCTGAGCAGGAACGGGTTCACTTCCAGCCCCTGTGGCGAAAGGAGGGAAACACTCACAACTACTAACTGTTTAAAACCCATAGTTAAAAAGACAATTTCGGGATATTTTCAGACACTGTCTCAAATCGACAACGAAAACGAAATAAAACACAATCTGTGCTACTATATCAGTGAATGTTAAAGTGTCATGTCTTCTCTCTTATCATTTCCCGGTTCTGAATTTAGTTGTTCAGAACTTCGAACTTCAAAAAGGACTACAGTTTACGACACTTCACGTCGTTGTACGGTAACGTAAAGTGAGGCAGATATGGTAAACATGTGGAGTGGTTAGTAGCCGAAAAATAACGTTGTGGTAAGACTGAACTTTTAATTCACATATTTTAGTCCACACTACAACATAGAAGTAGCCGTTTATCGAGACTCTGGTGGTTTTGTATTCAGCTTATTTCCGTGAATACAAACTAAAGCTGTTAGCTTGTAGCTTAGCCGCACTTTCTAACGAACTAATAACAACTTCGGTGCCGTTTTCTGTCAATTAATTAAACTTAGATTGTTAGATTGGTTCAGTGACTAAAGGGTAGCTGCACCCTCCTTTATCAGTCTAACGTGTCGAGCCTCTAAATGTCTGCAACGGTCAGAAAAAGATCGCGCTGATCTCCGTTTAAAACACCGTAGATTGAAACATTTTCCTTGTCACGGGTGAACCTCCACTCATGGCAGTTTCTAAAACAAGCTGTTGGATCATCACAACACCCTCCTTCATTCGGCACACATTCAGTACACCTAACACCCCTGGTTTAGTTTGTACAGATGATGTTGCTGACTAACGGTAGTCTTCACCTAACGCCTGAGTGGCATACGTTAGAAACGTGAACGTCGCCGTGAACGTGAAATCATTTACATCCCGAAAATGTTCGAAGAGACTAGAACATAGTCCCAGTGTTCATTCTTGTTCAACTAATTTGAGACTTGCAAGGAAAACTGGACGTGTCCTGTATTGTTTCTATGGAGTTTGGTGTGTGTGGTCTGTGGAGGTCTGAGGGACTCCACTGAGCTGCTCCTGCACATTTTATTATGACTCCAGAGATCGATAGGGAAATCAGCTCGTCCAGTTACTGAACTCTGTTAGTTTTATATAACTGTCTAGTGTTATCAATCAGAATCAGAAGACTTTATTGATCCCAGGGGGAAATTAAGTTTGGTTACAGTTGCTCCCTCAGCAAATAAGAGAATATGAAGTAGAATATAAAGGTAAAGATAAAAAGGAATAATCATAAAATAAAATCATAAAATATAACTTATATTTCTATAAAATATGGGAAAGATTACACCCATCAGTTGTATAATATCCTTATTTTTCCCAAATGTCCTCTGTCTCTTGTACACTCTATTTTATAAAGGGTATCAGCCAGATGACTTTTTTTTTTTTGTTATTTGAATTGATTTATATTTCTCCGTGATATTTTATGTATAAGGTATTTACTTATTTGTGTTTTTGTATTAGTTTTTCTTTTTTGTTGGATGCCTTTAATTTAATTAACTTCACTGGTCCTAAATTGTTTCTGTATTATCTATTTTGACAGATTCATTATTGTTTTTGCAACTGAGTCTCATAGAAGGCTGTAAATGGATCATTAAGTAATACAATAAAAAAAAAAATTAAAATATGAAATTATGTACTTATGCTATAATATATAAATAAAAAGAAATAGAAATACGTAAGGCTATGAGTATAAAATTGCACTAAAGTGTCAGAATTGCACAGTTTGTATACTTAGTATAAATACATTGTCTACCGCTTATCCTCTAGTAGGGTCGCGGGGGGGCTGGAGCCTATCCCAGCATCCTTTCGGGCGAGAGGCGGGGTACACCCTGGACAGGTCGCCAGTCCATCGCAGGGCACACAGAGACAAACAACCATTCACTCTCACATTCATACCCTATGGTCAACTTGGAGTATTCAATCAGCCTAGTCCCCATTTGCATGTCTTTGGACTGTGGGAGGAAGCCGGAGTACCCGGAGAGAACCCACACAGGCACGGGGAGAACATGCAAACTCCAACTGAGTGAAATGACCCGGAAGTATCTGAGCAGCTTTATGATCAGAGTGAGGAAAGGAGCTTCACTGCTTCCTATTTTATCTCCTTTAGGAAACACTGGAGCTTCCTTTACCAAAGGAAAGGAGAAATGCCGTCCCACAATTCCTTGCTGCAGCAGCATTTAAAACCACAGCAGAGACACATAAATGTAGAAACAACAGAGCAGCTGTTTCCTGTTTGATGGACTGAAGCTCAGATCCATAAATATAGATTCATTATCTTTAAATCAGTCAGGAGTCGTCATGAAGAACGAGCTGAAGAATTTATAGTGAAAAACATCATCATCAGAACTAAATACTGAAGTCTATACATTAAAGTTGTTTCACTAAATCCCCTCCCTGTGTGGAAAGACCTAAACATTCATTTTCTGTAGGAAACTTCTGTCTGAATATGATTAATTCTTATTTCCTGCTCAGTTCATTATTTCTATTTGGTTATTATTTTACCGGCTCAGTTTTCTCTATTTGTATTTTCCTTTCATGTTTTCTTATTTCAACATTTCAGTCCTGTTTGTTTCTGTGGTTAGAGGAGGATTCATCCTCTGTGTGTCATAAATAAAGTTCGTTCAAAAAAGAAAAAAGCTCAGTGTAAGTGCAGTCAGATTCTCAGGAGATCAACCTCAGTCCTTCAGTGTGAGGAGGACACCTGTCTGATCATTAATAACCAGATGATTGGCTCCCAGCAGTGGCAGCAGGGCGGGTCCTGTAGGAAGCTGCAGGTTGAGCGGTTCTCTAACTTGGGGGGGGGGGGGTGTAAATGTAGTCAAATCTTGTTTATAGACCTTTTTCATTTGGCACATTGAAAACAGCTGTAACAAATTTATGAATAATTGCACATGAAACTTGTAACAGGAACCAGCACTGTGATGTGATTGGTTCCCCCTGTGTTATTGCAACAGGCCACAGTGTCTGACATGAGTGAGGCCTGTAAATGTGTTTTATGTGAGAAGAGCAGACAGGAGACTCTTGTGAAGACGAGGGTTAAACAGACGACAGACGGAGAACAGGACCGACTGTTTTTATATGGAAGAAAAGACAAACACATGATTCTCTGTAACGAGTCCAAAGTATGATGTGACTTCCTGAGTTCAGTTGTTATCTTGTTTTAATTGTTACAAACCGATGTCAAGCTTCAAAAAGGAGGAATGACAGAAAGCCGCAGCTTCCCTGAGGGATGATGTTACGTCTCTGTACTTTATTGTCTTTAGCCTGATGTTGTGTAACGATGAACACTATTCATTAACTCTAATTAATTTCATAACGACAACTTCATGTGTGAAAGCGGGAACCTCCTCCCTGTTCCTCATACAAGGTTGGGAACTAAATGTCAGATTTAGTTCCCAACCTTGTATGAGTCAACCTGTAAAGTCGTGTTTGTAATGGATTTTGATAAGTGATGTCTAATTCAGCATTATAAGATGTTGGTTTCAGAGACTCCAGACTGACTGGCCTGCACTCTCTGTCTCAGTGTGGTCCTGGTTCTGAGTTTATGTAGATGACAGGCAGTGAAGTGTTTTGGCTGCAGCTCAGTAACAGCTGTCTTCCATCTGTCTGCAGATGGAGAACTACAGCAAGGCTCGGACGGCGGAGCAGCCGTGTGTCTGTCCGTTCCCCGGCCTCCCCCCCGACACGCCGGAGGTCCGCGTCAAAGACGGCAGCAAGATCCGCAACCTGCTGCGCTACGCCCTGAGCCGCATGGAGGCCAAACCGCGAGCGGCTGAAGAGGAGGGACGACCCGCACCCGAGGAGGGGGGCGTGGCTGTGGAGGGACACCAGGAAGCGCCGGGCCGCCCGCTCTGCAAACAGATGATCTTCACTGCGAGCGGGAAGGGCGTGTCCAAAGCCATCACCTGTGCTGAGATCGTGAAGCGGCGTGTGAAGGGGCTCCACCAGCTCACCAAGCTGCTGTACAGCACCGCCGTGGAGGTGTGGGAGCCGCTGGAGCCCGCCGCTGGCCTCGACAGCCTGACGGTCAGCAGGAACCTGCCCGCCATCTGGATCCTCCTCTCCCTCGAGCCACTGGACGCCAGCCAGCCCGGATACCAGGCGCCGGGCCGGTACGACGCCCTGTGGGCTCAGTCCGCCAACAGGGAGGAGGGAGGAGGTTTCACCAGACAAAGACCAGGACACAGGAGGAAGAGAGGAGGAGGAGGCGGCAGTGGCAGAGGAAAGGGACCCGGCCATCAGACTGGACGGTCCAGAGAGGCCAATAAATGACGGGTGATTTCTGTTCGCCTGCACGGACGTAAAGACGACAGAGACGCTGTGAAGGAGCCTGAAGTGAACTCACTTCATTTCTATCAACATCAGCTAAAGAGAGATGATCCATCACATTCAGAGTTTAAGCCAGTTCTGTCAGCATCATGTTTATTTAGATAATATTATAATCATTATCATTATTATTGTTATTGGACACTGACTTATGGGTTTGCAGGCAGGAGCTGACAAAATCACCTCAACTCAACATTCATGTATTTGCTTGTTCAGGAGCTTTTAACTTTATCACGCAGTCTTCATCAGTAGGTAAACCTTGAGTAGAGGTTGTTTGTTTGTCGGCAGCTGTTTCCAAGCTTACAAATCACCTAGATATGCATATCTAGGTGATTAGATATGGATGAGAAGTCGTAGTGATGCTACACTTCCATAACAATTGAGAAAACTGCTGTTGCATTCAAAAGCTCCTCATTAAAGCGAGTAAGTGGACCTTGAGTTGAGGTGGTTTTGTAGCCAGAAGCCAAACACTGATGTGACGTAAAGAATAATGTACATTTAGTTGTTTCTTCTGCCAGTGTGTCGCGGTGATGGATTAGCCACATGCTAACACTGACTGTGAAGCTCAGCTAAAACAGGAAGTACCAAACTCTCTTCAAGTTCAACTCTGTTCTTTTTTGTTTTTCTTCAGAGACACGCCTCCTGACCTTTTTGTTTTCCTGTCTGTTGAGATGTGTCCTGTTGTGCTCATACAGTGTAAACAGACTTTGTGTGTTCTCATTAAAGAGATCTTTATTTGTTTAGCCCTGAAACTGTGGGTGTTGAATGATCGCACACATTTCTGCTGCGATACAAAAACCCGTCTGCTCACAGTCCGTGTCCAGGCTGACAACCTGTGAACACCAGAGTCTGACGGAGTCCATCTCCGCCCGACCAGAGCCGAGTCTGAGTCTCGCATGTCCTTAAATGGCCACCATACAGGACGTAACCCTTTGATTTAGGCATCGACATAATCTTTCGACTGGCGCCTCCCTCAGGACAAATCTTAATGTTTTACACTCACACACTTTTATCAAACATTTCCGTCTCTAATAATCTTATCATTTAATTACTGTGAATTTCTGGGATGCAGCTAATGATTATTTTAGTTCTCTATTTGTTTGCCAATGGCTCCAAATTTCTCAAAAAATAAATTCACAGTTGGTTCAATAAAATACTAGAAAAGAGTGAAAAACGACCTTCACAGGTTCAGACAGACTTTTTTTATCCAACAAACTGTTTAAAACCCTCAGAATATTTAATGTAGTAGAATGTGAGGGTGTGAAAAGCTGGATCTACCAAACACCAAATATTGACTCGGATGATTATTGAAGTCTTAATCATTTCCTGTCAGTCAACTAATTGATTAAACAACCAGACTTGAGCGGAGGTGAGTTCCCTCCTTTAAATCCCTCTGTGATGGGTTCAGGTTGTGGCAGTAAGAGGGGTCCTGTCCCGGTAGATCCTCCTCCTGGGGAGTCCTAGGGAGCAGCCTGTGCTGAAGATCCTGGTGGCATCTTGTGTGGATTTTGATCCTTTTATCTCCTCAGGCTGTCAGCTGCTTACAGCACAAGAGGATTAGTTTCCTGCAGGAGGATCAGAGCGGAGCCTCACAGTGTCTGTGGTCGTAGCAGAGAATGGAGCGGTGTGGACGGGCGGAGGCGTTCAGGCTCCTGCTGCTGGTCTGCTGGCTGACGGTCGGCCCGGTGCTGGCTCAGGTCCGCCACCCGCTGCCTGTGCTGTGGTTGATGCCGATGAGGGAGAACCTGACGGCCGGCGTGGGTCCGGCTGTCAGACTGGCTCTGCAGGACCTGAAGAAGCAACCACCTCCACTGGGGAACTACGAGCTCCAGCTCCAGCTGCTAGACTCTCAGGTTGGTCTGTGATTGGCTGCTGGACTCTCAGGTTGGTCTGTGATTGGCTGCTCCTCTGGGGTTTTTCTGGCATTTGATAAAGTACTGACATTGTGAGCCTTCAGGTGTTTTGTCCTCTCAGTCACACAGGTATGAGGAAGTAAAACTGTTGGGTATTTCAAAATAAAAACAGGGACCAGAAAAAGTCATATTCCAGAAATGTTTTATTTTTTCTCTCCGTCCATTAATCAGTTTGTGAACATTCAGGTTTGGTGAGGTCATCAGCAGCAGCAGATATTGTAGAGACGTACTGACTGTGATGCATCAGTATCAGCTGGAAGATATGAATCCACAGACTCAGTCAGTCTCTGTGACATTGATCCTCCTCCAGCTGTAAACATCTGGATTCATGTTTCTGTCTGCTAAAGTTGTGTTTTCTTCACGCTCTGCAGTGTGATCCTGCTAAATCACTCAAAGCTCTGTTTGACACCATGTGGACGGGGCCAAAATACATGCTATTGCTCGGAGGGGTGTGTCCATCTGTGACGGCGCTCATCGCTCGCTCTCTGCCGGCTCTCAACCTGGTGCAGGTACGGATCCAGATCCGGTCCACTGGCGGTTTCCATTCAATGTGACCTTGGGAACAAGATGTGATGCTGTGACCTTTTCTATGAAACGGAGTTAAAAGTGTCTTGAGGTTCTCAGCGTCAGTGTTGCCATGAGAAAACGTTTTTATGAGCAGGTCTCTGATTGGTCTGATGTTCACAAACTTCAGCCTCTGATCTACAGGTGGCAGCAGGTAACCAGACGCAAACAGAGAGGAAGAAGAAACCTTTGTTTACAAGAAAACTCCATAGGCCACTGAAAAATGTTATATTAAAGGTGTCAGTAGTTAAATAGCAGTAACTAATAATAATAATAAATTAATTTGTATAGCACCTTTCATACAAGAAATGCAACACAAAGAGCTTCACATGAAAAGAAAAGACAAAAAATGAACATAAAACCATGTTTAAAGTATTAATCTGAAATTAAAAACATTAAAATGAGATAAAATAATAAATAAAATAATAATTCATTAAATAGGAAGACATTTAAAAGAAGTGATGAGCAGCAGAAATGTGGAAGTGCAACATTTCAGAGCTTTAAAAAATACTTAGTGAGCTGCCTCTCTGATATCTACAGGTATCTTTACCTGATATCTGTAGATATATAGATATCTGATATATATATATATATAGGTATATGTACAGTATATCTGATATCTGTAGGTATCTACATCTAATATCTGTAGGTGTATATATATATATATATATATATATATATGAGATCTATATCTGATTTCTGTAGGTGGTGTGTTCCACAGCCTTCAATACCAACCTTCAGTAAAGCAGGAGATGACCACGGTTTTCTGCTCATAGTTAATCAGGGAGTTAGTGGTGTGGCTTGGTCCTCGCTCGTTAACATCTTTGTATGTAAGGAGGAGGAGCTTAAATTAGTTGTAAATGTAACAGGAAGTTACTGGAGTGACGGTCTCTCTCCTCTTGGTTCTGGTTCACAGCCGAGCTGCAGAGTTTACAGTAGTTACCTGTGCTGACACCATGACGTTTCCTCTGGTGTCGCAGGTGTCTTTTGCAGCCACGTCGCCCAGCCTGTCCAACAGGAAGTGGTACGGGAATCTGTTCAGCACCGTGCCATCAGACCGAGCTCTGAACCAGGCCACGGTGAAACTGCTGCAGCGCCACAAGTGGACCAGAGTCGGCATCATCACACAGGAAACACCCAGACTGTCACAGGTGATCATCGTTGACCTCCTGACCTTTCTTCTGACTGCGTTTTAACGGCTCCATGACCACGGTTCTAAGGAAGTGTGTGTGTGTGTATGTGTGTGTGTGTGTGTGTGTGTGTGTGTGTGTGTGTGTTTCTCTGTCTCCAGATGAGGAAGGATCTGCTCAGACAGCTGCTGAAGGCTGAGGTTCAGGTGGTTTCCACAGAGAGTCTCTCTGACGACGTCTGCAGCAGCCTGAAGACGCTGAAGGTGCTGAAGCAGAATCCAGTAGATTTCAATAGATTACAGTAGATCTCCATGAACACGGCAGAACGACAGCAGGACAGAGACCTTTAATTGACTCTAAATGATAAATGTCTGTTTACATTTGTCCAAGTTAATGACTAATCAATAATAAAATGATTGATTTGGGGATTAAATATCTGCCTCTGTTTTCGCTGCAGGATCGTGACGTTCGGATCATCATCGGACAGTTTGAGGAAGATTCTGCCGCTGACGTTTTCTGCTGTGTGAGTTCATGATGACGTCTTATTAAAGTCCAGATCATGTGACCTGAAAAATGAGAGAATCAGTGAAAATTCAAAAACACTAACATCTGTAAAAACTCACTGAACCTTGTTTGTTTAATCGTCATATAAAAAGAGGTGTGAATAATACAGTTTGTGGTTTCAGGGGGAGTTTTAAGCTGGAACTATTTCTTGACGAATAGCAGTGTATCCATCCACCCAGCACTTGTGTGCAGTGGCTCCGGCTACAGAGTGAGATAAACTGTTCCACCTGTTCTCAGTGGTTCCACCTTTAGTGTCTCCAGAGGGAGCTGTGCTCACCCCAATCTCCCACCCAACAGTTGCATTGTGGGTAATGTAGGCACAGGGTTTTGACAAAGAAGAAAAATGTGTGAAATAAAAAAGATGATAATGCAGAAATTATAAACGTGTTTTAAAGCTCCTCCAGTGTAAAGGTCTCTGTCCATGTGTAGTGTGATTATAGATCAGGTCTAGCTTCTATATTAATACTGTGAAAGTATCAAAGCCTCAGTCCACAGAGAAATGCACACAGCCTGTATTCAGAAACTGAGCCTTAAAACCAGCCGTCAGGACTTCTGGAACTTTGTGATGTCACAACGAAGCAGTCACCAAGCCCCGCCCACCTGGACCCACCATCCAAACCTTTACAGGATTTGTTTTTTCTGAGTGTTTTTACCTGAAATCTGCTATATTTTATTGATCATTCAGAAAACAGTCGGCCAATCAAAAGAGAGGCTCAGAGCCTCCTCTCTTCTGATTGGCTCACAGACCATGGATCAACACTTCAAATAAAACACAGAAGAAGAAGAAACATGGAGCTTTACATCAAATATAAATATATTCTAGATGTATTTAATATTATTTCATACATTTTTCTCCAAAATTCAGACTAATATATTTATTTGGAAACTTTTAGATCTCTGTGAGAGTTATAAATAAAGTTGAGTGGGTTTGAACACTATGTCTCTGTGTGTTGTCAGAACCTTTTCAATTACTTTCAAGTTTGGAAAATCCAACCTCAGATTGCTGTAGTAACTGTCAGCACTGCAGCTGCCATGATGTTATTCCTCCTCAGGCGCACAGACTGAACGTGTTTGGAGCCGGGTACCAGTGGATGGTTGTTGATGGAGGAACAGCTGGGTGGAGGCTGGGAGGGCTGGTGTCCAGCTGTTCAGACAACAACCTCCATCAGGCAGCAGACGGATCCATCCGGCTGCAGGTCAGACAGCTGAGGAACGCTAACACAGGGCGGGCCGTCTCTGGACGGGTCAGAAAACATCATTTGTACTACAGTGACAGAGTCTCTGCTCGTTGGTTTCACTCAAATTATTATTTTGATTCGTGTGAAGTTCCAGATTTCATGGACTCTGTCAGGTCTGTCTCCACCTGCAGCAAAGCCTTTTCATAGTCCCCTGTTCTAACACCTTGTCCTGCAGACTCCTCAGGACTACCAGGACTCCTACCTCAGACAGCTGATCAAGGAGGGCTCCCAGTTCAGCCCCCTCCACGCCTTCGCCTATGACACCGTCTGGGTCGCCGCCAAGGCTCTGAGTCAGGTGATGGAGGCCGCGAAGCACAGAGAGAAATACAGCGTCCGCAGGAATGTGACGGTCAGTGAGGAGGAGGTGCAGAAGATGCTGCTGGAGGCCGTGAGGAGCACGCAGCTGGAAGGAGTCACGGTGAGAAGATCGCACCTGAAACATGTTCACGCATTCAGTCAGCTGCCTCCACTTCCCCTCCGCCGGCAGGTTACCTGTATATTCTTACCTGTATATTAATGATGTCATGAAGTCACATGTCTTTTTCAGGGACCAGTTTTCTTTCGGAACGGAGAGAGAATGACGGCGATCGAGCTGATCCAGTTTCAAGGTGACGTGACACATGGAGCTGCTCTGTTCATGTTCAGATATTCATGTTATTCAGCACACGTACAGTACTGTGTGTGTGTGTGTGTTTGTGTGTGTGTGTGTGTGTGTGTGTGTGTGTGTGTGTCCTCAGGCAGCAGTGGTGTGTTGGTGGGTGAGTTCAGTACGTCCACCCAGCAGCTCCGACTGCTGAACCACCTGCTGAAGTTCAAAGGTCAGAAACTAAAGGCACACTTGACGTTTTATTTCGAAATGATCCACAAACCAGAACTTGAAGCATCATGTTGTGACTTTAATTTGAAATTCGAACCTGCTTCACCAGGGTTATGACTTCCTGTTTATTGTGAGTTTTAATCAATGAAAAACATCAGTGAGAACAATCAATAATCGCCGCCCTCGATCAGACATATTGATCAGGTTCAGATGACTGTTGTCGCTGTGGTCCTGCAGGTCCAGGACCAGCCAGAGACCGGACCCTGGCGCGTCTGCAGCGCCGTGGTGTGAACCTCCTCGTGTACAGCGCCGTTTCATCAGCTGCAGCCGTGACCATCATCATCACTCTGATCGTCCTCTGCTTCATCGGCATCCACCACAAACACCGGTACATGGCCTGGACTCTAACCTGTGTGGTGTGTGGACCACGTCACTCACTCAGCTGTTCCTGTCTCTCTGTCTCTGTCTGTCCGCAGGCTGCTGAGATCCAGCGCAGGACCCCAGGACCAGCTACTCCTGCTGGGCGTCCTGCTCTCCTCCTCCTGGGTCCTGGTCTCCGGTCTGGACGGGTCCTCGGTGTCCGACTGGACCTTTGAGACGCTCTGCTCTGTGAGTTTTTAAAAATAGATATTAATGGAAAAACAACGTAATACAAAACCACACTGAGCACACATGGAGACATGGGTGAGGCGGAAACGTCTTTTTCTGTTCTGAGGGTTCAGACTGAGAGAAATGATCTTTAGTCTCTGAGCAGCTTCATGAGGAAAGGAGCTTCACTGCTTCCTCTCTCATCTCCTTTGGGAAACACTGGAGCTTCCTTTACTGAAGGAAAGGAGACATGCCGTCCCACAATTCCTTGCTGCAGCAGCATTTAAAACCACAGCAGAGACACATAAATGTAGAAACAACGGAGCAGCTGTTTCCTGTTTGATGGACTGAAGCCCAGATCCATAAATATAGATTCATTCTCTGTCATGATGAAGAACAAGCATATCATCTTCATTATCATCGTAACAATTCATCTTCTATATATCCTACTCATGTCTCATGGCCTCTTACTTGTTGCTTATTTCTAATTGATTATTTGCAGTCATTGATTATTACTCTTATCACTCTCTACTTTCATGTTGGGTATATTTGTCGGTGCAGGTTCGTCTGTGGACTCTGTCAGTGGGACACACTGTGGGCTTCACTGTGCTGCTCACCAGAACATGGAGGGTCTATTCACTCTGCAGGATCAAACATCAGGTAAATCAAACGACCAGAGTCTGAGTTTACTTTCTGAACGTCTTTAGGCGAAGCTGTGGAAACACAACCAGACGTTTCTTTAGGTTGTGTCTGACTGATTTCAACTGTCATCAAGCATTCCTGTTGTCCTCTTTGTTTCCAGCAGCAGAGGCGTCGGCAGCAAACGGGTCGTGTCGTGCTCTGTCTCCTCCTGCTGGATGTGTTTGTTTTAACCTCCTGGCAAATCCTGGACCCCCTCAGACGGGTGGTGCTGCAGCATCGCTCCGAGGTAACGATGACCAGGAACTATTCTCTCAGAGTGAACAGAGCTTCAAAATACGTGGAACATGTTCATCTTTGTATGGGGAAAGAGAAAGTAAAAAGGCTGATGGGAAATGTGGTCTGAATGCAGAGAGACTACAACATCTCATCTCATCTCATCTCAGTTGGTTCCAGCAGCAGAGCATTGGAGTTTTCTAACAGACAGACTTTAATGAAGGAGGATGTTGTGGAGTTTTCACAGGCAGCTGCTTCAGCAACAAACACTTGTCATTTTTTCCAGAGTGACTCTTCTGATCCGGACGTGGTTGTCCGGCCGTACTCTGAGCTCTGCAGCTGCGCCAACATGGAGCTGTGGCTCACTGCGGTCTACGGATACAAAGGACCCCTGCTGGTCAGAGCTCACACGACACACAGTTCCCACTTTTCATTAAAAAGTCTAAAAAAAAGTCTGAAATTAAAATAAAGGAAAATAAGGTCTTAAAAGGTCTTATATTTACTGTAAATTTGGTGTAAGTATTACATTTGCTGATAGTGTGTTGAAGACTGGTAGAAAAAAACCAAGCCAATAATAATAAATAAAAATAAATAATTAGGCTGTTTACTTTTGAGATGGGGTCATGCCGACACGCTAGGGGGCGCTAACCTGGTAGTTTGGCATAAAACTACAATCTACTGGTCCACAGGTGATAATTAGATCATTTTCAGTCAGAAAATAAAAAGTCATTGTACACAGTGATATGGGCTAAAAAGTCTGCTCTAGAAAACGCTAAAAGCATGTTATTGATTATCAAAAGATTAATTTGAAATTCTGTAGGAGGATTTAGAAAATGTTTAGCTTTTATTGCTGGGTTTCTATTTGTGTCTACTATGTGCTGTTGAACTTTCATGACGAGCATGGACTGAATTTTCCACTCTGCCTCCATTTTAAAACATTGTTTATAGAACAAAAACAAAAATCTGAGAAAAAGAAATCATTTCAATATTGTTTGGCCTTAATTTTCATTTGCTGAGGTCTTAAAGGATTGATTTAGATTTTTAAAATGGTGTAGGAACGGTGAACGTCACACACAGGAAAACTGAACTGTTGGATGGTTAAAAAACGGAGGGACAACTTGTTGTCAAAGCCTGTGTTTCTTCTTCAGGGTCTTGGATGTTTCCTGGCCTGGAGCATCAGGTCTGTCCAGGTGGGCTGTCACCTGACTCTGAGTGTGTTCGCTGTGACGGTGTTCAGTGCATCAGGAGTGACAGGATCACTGCTGACGTCCCACAATCCTCCTGTTCAGTTCTGCGTGAGCAGCGTCCTCATCCTCTGCTGTAACATCTTCATCCTGAGCTTCCTGTTCGGACCGACGGTCGGTGTCTCAGCTGCTTCATTGTTTTTTTCTTACTTTGGTTTTGAAGAGTGAGAACACACAGACAGCAGACAGTGAAGTCAGAGACGTGTTTTGAATTTGTAGGTGTCACACTTGTGGGTGAACGGCGGCGAGCTGCAGGGTGATGCTGCAGAGGAGGAAGATGAAGACCAACTGAGCAGGTTAAACCAGCAGCTGAGGAGGAGGACTGCACAGGTCAGGACACAGAAACAAGATGTTTAATGAAAAAATGAATTTGTTTTGTGCATAAATAGAGTTGTCCTGATGTTGCTGTCAGAGACCAAGAGGTAGAAACCTTCATTATTTCAAGCTCCATGTTTTCTTCTTCTTCTTCTGTGTTTTATTTGAAGTGTTGATCCATCAGAAGATATAAAAACCATCTCAGTGTAGTTTTACATCTCCTCTCTCAGGCTTCTCTCTGGAGCTCTAGTAACAACAGGTGGGTGAGCCAATCAGAAGAGAGGAGGCTCTGAGCCTCTCTTCTGATTGGCTGACTGTTTTCTGAGTGATCCAATAAAAATAAAGCAGATTTCAGGTAAAAACACTCAGAGAAACCAAATCCTGCAAGGTTTGGATGGTGGGTCCAGGTGGGCGGGGCTTGGTGACTGCTTTGTTGTGACATCACAAAGTTCCAGAAGTCCTGACGGCTGGTTTTAAGGCTCAGTTTCTGAATACAGGCTGTGTGCATTTCTCTGTGGACTGAGGCTTTGATACTTTCACAGTATTAATATAGAACCTAGACCTGATCTATAATCACACTACACATGGACAGAGACTTTTAGACTGGAGGGAGCTTAAGTAAAATGATAATAATCTTGCAGTGCTGTTTGTCGTCCTCTTTGCAGCTCGACGTAGAAATAGAAACCATCGCCATGCAACTTTCTGAGATGTCCGAGATGCTTCACAAGAGAACAAACAATGGTAACAAAAAACCTGAAATCAAAGACACTGAAAGCAGGACTAAAGGAATAACTACAGCTAAATGTAAATTCAACTGTCACTGTGTCATAATGACTTAATCTGAAACGTTCTCAGGTGGTTTAGATTCAGAGAGAACGTTGCTGGAGGGATTCACAGCCTCATCAGCTGATGTTAACACATTAACAAACAGTTCTTCCTTTAGAATGAAGCCATGACGCTTCAGAACACCTGTCGTAACGGTGTTTTTGTCCCACCAGGTGAGGTCAGGCCTGTGAGCTGGACTCATGAAGCTCAGGTCTGTGCTGACGACAGGAAACCATCAAGTCCAGAGGACGTCAACTCTCCTGAACTGTGAGTTCAAAACAAATCCATGCACCTGCTGTGGAGCGGTGATGAGGAGGCCAGAGCCTTCCTCACATTAACACATGAAACAAACAAATGTCTGAGCTTTGACTGGATCTTTGAACGACCTCTCCTTCTTCTTCAGTGGTTTAATGGCAGCGACTGGAAATGAAACGATTATTATCAGTTTTCTTCTCAGTTTTTTTTCCAGTCTTCTTTCTAGATAATAAGATAAATGAAAACAACTATCACTTCCTCTAATTCACTCCTTCAAATATTACAGCCCCACAGAATCATGAAGCCTCAATGACACATTATTATCCATTAGGATTTCTTATAGTTTCCTGCTGAACTGAAGAAGTGTAAATAGAGACGACATGTATTCGTCACTGTCTCTGTCTGATCTCTCTCAGCGTGCGGCGCCGTCTCTCCGTGCAGCTGCCCATCCTCCATCATTCCTACCTGCCGGTCGTCGGCGGCGTCAGTTCCAGCAGCTCCAGTCTGTTCGGCAGCCGTGATGCCTTCGTTAACCAAGACGTGCTGATGACCACCGTAACATCCTGTCCCCCTGACGCCGCACACCTGGAGCCACGTCACTGCTGAGCCAATCAGAGGGCAGCTGTGACGTGCACCTCTGACTGCTTATTTTGAGAGGGTTTTGGCCCCAAATTATTTTTCATATTTATTATTATACAGGAAAATGAATACAAGTCCATATCTATACAATATATTACACATTTTTCTCATGCAGGAGAACAGGAGCCAGATGGTTCTGCTGTTCTTCATCTCACAGAACGTCACGAGGCTGTTGCTGGTTTTTAATTTGGTTTGTCAGAGAAATCAAAACAGAACTGTGAAGCTCCTTCAGTGTCTCTGGTCAGAGTGAACGGAAAGTTCCAGCACAGTGACCAGAGATGATATTTCCAGCTGCTGTTTGCTTTTGCAGCACAACAACATTTCAGCAGCTTTGGGATTTTTAAAATGACGAAATCTACTCAAACATGAGCTTTGACCTGCTTCAGGCTGCAGCGTAACTATGACAACTGCTTCAGTTTCATTGCCTGAAAACAACAAGTTGAAGTGAAGGAAACCCTCATACAGGATTTCACTGCTCAGAGATGGACTGTAGAGGTGAACAGGCTGGTGCTTCTGATACTGATACCTGATGTCCTGATGTCAACATCTGGCTCAGACTCATAAGAGCTGAATCTGATTTGTCCTGATCACGATCGTCCTCGTGTCTGAGTCTGATCACTCATGGTGATCCAGCTGTTTAAGATCACAAGAAGTCACATCTGGACCCCCGGGTCTTTCTCACTCAGCTTTTGAATGTGTGGCTCCTCTGTGAGGAGTACATGGCGACCATATGACTCTGTCCTCCGCCTGCTTTATTCACACTGACCTGCTCCATGCTGTCTTTCTGAATGTAGCAACAGCCTGTAATAATTAATCATCACTATCGTTATCATTATTATAATTATTATAACATTTGTTTATTGATCCCACACGGAGTCGGATCAGATCTCATATAGATTCCTGAGGCATCGTTCTGCTCAGACGTGACAATATACCTTATTCATAAATGTTTGTCTTATAATGTTTCTAATATTTTTATCATTTAGATAAAAAAAAAAAGAAAAAGTTGACATAGGAAAACCCTGTATCTGGTTCAGGAAGCTAACACAGCCACTGTGATACAGATATTCAAGTCCTTTTAAATGAAATACACTCAAAAGGACAAAATGGTTTAAAGGATGAACATTATTCACTGTGTCTGATGGAAACATTTAAAACATGGTTTCTGAGGAAGGAACTGCATTCAACAACGAAATACCCACAATGCATTTTCACACAGTGTTGCTACTTAAAGAAAGGCTCTGAATACTTCTTCCACCACTGGCTGCTGATTGGTCTATACAGTGACCACCTTCAAAACAATCTGAAGTCTAAAGTGCTTCAACCCCAACTTCTCTCTACAAATACAATTCTTTGAATCTTTGGTAGCACGTTGTTTTTTGTTCTTTTTGCTCCATGATTCAACTTAAAATCCACTTTATTGAGACATGTTTGCTTCCTGGATCTGACCTGTGCTGCAGTCACCTCTGCTGTGATGAAACCTGCTGTGTTTACTGTCAGCACTGTGGAAACTACAGATGCAGCCTGCTAGGTCACAAACACTGATGTTAACTGGGAAATTTTTAACAAGAACTGTGTCCACACACGGGAGGAGGAGGAACATCAGGACTGTATAAAACCTCACCCGTATGTCTCAGTGAGTTGTGACTGGGAGACAAAGACTTCCTTCAGACTATAATCCAACATGTCTTCATTCAAAATGCTGCTCTCTTCTCTGGCTCTGACTCTGCTGGCTCTTACTGTGGAGTCTTCGTCCGGTGGAGGTAAGGCCTTTGAGTTGTTGTTTGTTTTTAGAGTGGTATAATGTTGTTTCTGTGACTCTCTGATTAAATAAATGCGACTCATCTTTGGCTCCGACAGGCGGCTCTCCTCCCAACCACAACTACGACTTGTCGGGCTCGGCCCTGACGAGGCTTTATAACTCTCCAGTGCACCATGCTGAGAGGATGAAGAGGCCGTTGGAGGGGGCGTCATCTTGGTTGGGACCAATCAGCCACTCTGGAGTTCGGTGAGTCCACACGCTGAGCTGCTCTGGTGACAGCTTTTCTTTTAGCAGCTAAAGAGCCACATATTTCCCTCGGGAGCTGGTGGAGACCAAACACTAAAAGAGAGAGAGAAAGAAAACAGAAAGAAGCTACAATAACGAATCAAAAATACAAATGAAATTGATGAAAGACCCAAAAAAGAAAAGGTGGAGCAGAAAATGCCAGAGAGAGCAGAACAGTGCCAAAGCTTTGTGTGATTTTGTGCCATTTTTATCAGTTTTGGTAAAATATGCTTTCAGTTTTTACCAATGTGACACGAACCTGTGACACAGTCATGTTGTTTTCTGTATTTAATCTCATTTGTTCCACTTTAAAGAAAAAATCAACAATCATTTTTGAATTCTGAGAAATTTTATAAAGAGTTTAGGTCGTTTCATAGATTTAGAGATGTTGATATACATCAGAATCTGCCTCATGCATATTTTTGTATTTCACATATCTGACTCTTACAGCTATTATTCAGTTACCAGCCAACACTAATTAGAATTTTTGTTTCCCAGAGTGACGCTGGACGACGGCACTCAGTGGCTCGTCCATAAAGGAGGTGGATATGGAAGAAGCTCTCAGACAGTGGTGACTGATGCTCGACACATGAGCTCAGCCTGGGAGGTAAGCGACCAATCCCAAACCAGAAATCAAAAATCAGACAGGTCAATCTGGAAAGTTGAATTTTGATTGCCAAAGTACGAGTGTTTTAAATAAACTCTTGGCTGATGTTTCAGAAATATTGAGTGATGATGTCATGATCTCTATCCTGGAGGACAAAGTGAAGGAGTCTGTTTTAACTCCTCCTCCTGTGTTGTCTCTCTGCAGCCGGTCGCCACCAGAGATTTCGAGGGCACAAAGAGAGTTTCTGATTTTGTGAGCGCTGGAGGCTCCAACTACAACCTCTTTACAGATAACTGTCACCTGGGCTCTCGTCGAATGATGGATCAATGAGAAACATGAACTTTTCTCTTTCCTTTAACCTTAAAGTCACAGTTTATTTCCTCTCTGCTGAACAGATAATAAAGGAGAAACCTCACAGAGTGTCTCATGTGCTTTTTATTCCACCGGAGGCAGTAGACTGATACACACGAGGGCTCTTTACTGTATGTAAAGGGAAATTATGTGCAGGTGTGCATCTTCAGAACATCCTGTTTTCACTATCACTAGTTAATGTCACAGATATAAACATGTGAAACACCAGCTACACAACTTTAACACACTTGAGTTGTGTTGTTTGTGTAACTTGACTTGTGGGTTAATAGATTAAACCATGTGGAGTGGTTGGATGTGAATGAAATCCACTTCTCTTATGAGCTTTATGAAAATAATCAAAGTCCTACGACACATAAAAATCTGTGTTGTTTTTATTCACCTGTAGTTGAAGACGCACCTCTGCACATGTCATCCATACCCCGGTTATGAGTCTTATGTGGATCAGATTCTGGTATTTTTATGGAACATACTAACCTGGTTATTCATTCATAATTCTTATACAGAAATGTGAGCAAATGACCTGCAAGATCAGCAGCAGCCAGGTGTTTCAGGTGATGACATGAGACTGGGCGTCAACCTTCAACAGCGTGTCCCCCTTTAGAGACGTGGACACTGGACATCAGTTGCACAATTTTAAAGGTAAATTGAGGATTTTAAATTAATTACAAAAGATTTTGCTTTGGGAGCACAGACAGCAGCAAAATGAGAAAAGAGAAAAGTGGAGCTGAGATGGCTGGAAAAAAAAAAAATAATGGAGGAGGAAGAAGATAAATGTTCCCAAATAACAGATAAGACCCGGCAGGTGAAATGCTAAGCATGGACATTGTAGCTAGGTGCTAGCTCAGGTGATATTACTAAAGCTAGCCACTAGTTTTTGTGCAGCCCTCTGCATGTGTTAGCTGACTATTTTACTTTGTGTGTTATTAACAGGTTAGCACAAAGCAGAGTTCCCACGTGTCCTGGAAAACCTGGAAAACAGTTTTGCAGTCATGGAAAACACATGGAAAATCAGAAGAAAAAAAAATCATGTCCTTGAAAAATATTTCAACATTCTCTTATTGTGGGGCAAAGTTATGTTCAGGATCATGTTGACGTTGAAATGGTTGGTTAGTTTATGGAGGACAGTGTTTTGACTGGGCTGCTGCAGGTTGGATGATTTAGACTAAAGAATGTGAGTTATATTTTCCTTTAAATGTCACTGCTGCTGCTGACTGCTGTGTTTTTTATCAGGTTTATATGTGAGCATGTTTTAAACTGTTTCTATAGTGGGTTAGCATGTTAGGTTCAGTAGTTTGCTAGCTTGTTTAGCCTGTAGCTAAAGGTTTATGGTTTGTGATTCAGGTCTTCAAATATGTGTTGGTTCATTCTGAGAGTTGATGATAAGAAATGTGGAGCCCGACTGTATGTTAGCCAAACACAGCTAAATACTAGCTAACAGTACTTTGTACTCTGCTAGCATCTTTGTTAGCATCACTTCAAACCCAATGCTGCGTTGTTCAGGTGAAACAGACCATAATATGACGTGACATGTTTAACTGTTGAGGCGGGAGCTCGCAAGTGGGTGTGGTTAACCTTGTTAATTATGTCACTTCCTGTTACTAGTAAAGAGGCTAAAGTGAGATGAACTGATGAGACCCAGCAGCAGTAAATAATAAAATAAACATTTAGCTGAAGTTCAGTCTGGATTTATCAGGAGGGAAAACTGAAGGTTACTGTTTAGTTCCTGGTGTTCAGGCAGCAGGTTAATATGATTAACTTTCATCATAGATTAATCATGATGATAATGATGCATTTTAATCATGGTCACATTTTGTCACAGTTCATGTCATCACACAACAATTTTGTGGAACTTATACTATTTCCAATTGATGCTACTTTATTTTTCTACTCCGCTGCATTTATTTGACAGGTGTAGTTTCTAGGTGCTTTCATTTTACATAG